AAAATTCAAACTTTATTAAGAACTCACAGTTAATGATTTAGACATTAGCTTTGGGACAAGAGAACTCACAGTCACATCCTCCTTATGCATTGTTCTAAGCACTGTAGTAACCTGTTCCACCTGATCCTCACTAGAACAAGCCGATAGAAGAACCTTAGCTGTTCCTCCATCTGGTGCACAACCCGAATCAATCATCTCTTCGAAAATCTCGAGACATTTCACATACAGTTTCTTCTTCGAGTAAGCACCGATCCTCGAGGTCCATGTCACAACGTCCGGTCTGAAATTCCTCTCCTTTAGCTCGTTAAAAAGCTCTTCAACTCTTTCTAAGAATCCGGCCTTACCATATACATTGATCAAGATGTTGTACGTGCTTATATCCGCGGTGCAAGAACCGTTCTCCATTTCGGATAGAATCGATTCCATCTTGGTGAATTGCCCTAACCGGCCGTACAAGTTGAGCATGCTGTTTAGGACATATGTGTCTGGTTCTACTCCGTTTTCGCTCATCTCTTTTACAATGGCTTCACTTTTTGTTACGTCTCTGGCTCTAGAGTAAGCCGATAGAAGCAGCATGTGGGATTTCATCGTCGGTGCTATGCCAAGCCTCTTCATTTCTTCAAACACAGCTTCAGCATCTGGTTTTCAAACACACATATGAAAAGAAATTGAGGTTTTACTCGGTCTATCACTTTTTTGGTTTAGTTCTGGTCACGGTTTGTTTATATATAGGAAAAAATGAAACAAATGTGTGTTTATCTGTGTTACCTAAGTGATGACCTGCACGACCATAAGCATCGACCATGATATTGTAGGAAGCTCTATCTGGTTCACATCCCATATGTTGCATTAGAGAGAAAATTTCAGCAGCACCGTAAGGATAACCTGCACGACTGTCTCGGGGTTTTGAGGACGTTAAATTTAAGCTTTTTTAATGATTTTCTTGGCATCAATCAGTCTCTGTGGAAGGGTAATACTATTAAGTTTAATAATTAATTACCTGTATGCTTCCATTAGAGCGTTATAGACATAGACATCAGGTTCAAATCCATCTTCTTGAAGCTGTTCAAATATTTCCTCGGCTTTCTCGCAAAGACCTTCTCTAGCAAATGCATTCACGAGCGCTGTGTATGTACAAATGTTTGGTTTACATTGTTGACTTCTCATTTCACAAAACAATTTCCAGGACATGTATGATTTACTTGCCTGCATGAAAACACAATGACATGAACATCACATTAAAGCCCAAATTGGCAGAAAATATGTTCATATCAAACGAAGTTGGAGTAAACCTTTCCATATAAATTTATCATCAAGTTGTAAGTTTCAGTGGTTGGCTTGCATCGCTCACGCTTCATCCTCTGGAAAACATCAATTGCTTCCTCGGTGTTTCCTTTCCTCTTCATTAACCCCTCAATATACGCATTGTATACAGAAGCACCTATACAAACACAATGTTAGATCAACTATCCATTGCTATGCAGGTACCAATGAAAATGTCATAATAATGACTGGAGTATATGGTACCAATATGTATAAAAAGCAAAGGAGATGCAGAGAGAGACATACTTGGAGAAACATGATGATTTTGCATCTCGATTAAAACAGCTTCAGCTTTCTCTATGAGCCCGGCCATACAGTATGCCTTTATAAGAAGAGCGTATGTGTCTTCCGTAGGCACGCAGCGGGATTCAAGAAGTTGTACATAGAGTGATTCCGCCTCCTTGTAATGGAACTTCTGTCCATAAGCATCTATAAGCAAATTGAAGCAGATTACATCAGGCTGAAAGGAGCTCCTCCTTAAAATCCACTCACACACCTAAAGAAAAAGATTGTAGCTAGCCAATTAAGACAAGATAAAAAGAAAATTGAGCAGAATGAGTTAGGGTGGTAATTCTGGCTCAAGAGTAGAGATTCTCTCCTTATTCAAAGTCTATCAATGGTGTAGCTCTTTAGTGAACTGAATAAATGGAATTTACCAGTTTGGATCCTATCAAACAACTGAGTTTCAGCTCATTCCCATGCCAAGAATGCCGGTTTCAACTTTCAAGTATACACTATGATATAGCAAATGCATTTCAAGTATACACTGAAAGCTAACCAGGATAATGGAATCCCATTTCTTGTTCAAACGGAGTTGCACAGCAACATTGATTAGATCATCCCATGAGGCATGTGTAGAAGGAAGAGTTCCGAGGACATCTGCTACTTTTTCGGTATCAGTTTCTTTCTGAATAAAGCTCAAAACTTTCTGAGCAATGGGACTCAGAACAGGAAAAATCCCATCGACAAACCCTGAGCCATATTTCCATCCTCTCCCCCTCAAAGACCCACCTATATGAAAAACCAAACATTCATGGCCATTCCTTGACCTTACAAAACTTGATAAGAAAAAAAATGTCTTGATGTTGAGTCTTACATCGTCTCCTCGAGAGTTTCTTCCTGTTAAATCTTGTTATTTTCCCGCGTTCGTCTATGACAAACCCCTCCTTCTTACAGCTTTTCACAGTCCCACCAGTGAACTTTGCGACTCCAAAACCCAAATATCTCTCAGTGAATAAGCAATTCAAAGCGTTTCCAGCTACCAACCTGACAATCAAAAACCCAATTTCCTGGAAAAGTTGAGAGCTTTACTTTTAGAAGCAATTCCCAAAATGCTTTCATAGAAGATACCATAAACAAAACCCAGCAGAATAAATTAGACATGAGTGGTTGTAGCTTTACAAAAATCCCTAATTTGATTCTATGAATCTCTCAGCTTATTTGCAAAGCTAGCCTTCTTCCTCCTCAATCACAAGCAAAATCGGTCAGAGTTGTATTCTGAATTACTGATTTTCTAAACCCTTGGGGAAGAAATTCCAAGTAAACAGAGATATATAGGATGATGAATTCAAAGCGGCAGAAACTGAGAAAACCAGAGTGAGAGAATTTGTTCTTCTTCATACATGACTGGAGAGATAAATCTTGAGCTTCTTCTTCAGATAAACTTGGGATAACAATTTTC